AGTCCATTTTGTTCTTATCTGCAATTCTCCCTTCTACTTGCAAATGTTTGTAAGTCATGAAGATCTAATGATGAGCCTTGGTAAATCAAGGAGTAATACAGGTCACATCCTTCATGACAGAAGGGACAACAATCTGTAAGAAAAGGCTCAGCAGAAAACAACTGGCATTGTAAGACTCCCTTGGCAAAATACAGGAGTGGTTACATTAAGTGTTACACAACCCTAAAGTGCAAGAGGTTTCTGTTTTTGATTAGTCTAATGCTGAGCTTGGACGAACTCCTGCAAACAGAGGTTAATGTTAACATGAATAAACAACTGAAAGGCCTAGTGTAACACTAAAGATAGTCTCATAAACTCTTCAACAAAATAAATGTTTAAGTCTGTTTCTAGGTAATGATGATTGATTGAACTTAAGCTTTTATATATACACAATCCTCATACATACAGCCATCTGATACTCTTAAGGTCCAGCTAATTTACACTAGTTATGAAAAGACCACACACATTTTTTTTACTCACACCTGCCAAAAGTTTTCTGTCTTTCAGCCTAGCTACCAGGAAGTACCCCATGATTTATTAATGGCCATGTTTTTACAGTTTGCTCTTCCATCCTGTAAATCAGTGTCAGATATATTTGACTTCTTAGACAAGAATAATTCTTTTTAAAAAAATGTTCCCATGAATGAATTGCAATGTATTTTCACCATTTGTTTATGGTAGCTGTTGCAGCCAACTTGGCATAAGAACACCTCTGAAAAAATTGGAGAAGACAACCACTTAACAAGAAGGGGATGGGAAGAAAATAAAGGTTTGTACTTTTTTTTTGATCCATTTTTGTACCCTTTGTAAGCTGGGTGATAAACTAAGGTACTGAGAATGTCGCAGGATTAGTGCACCTAACTTTTGTCAGGATGGGAGCTATATCAGTCACTATCTTTGAACTCTTTGGGGCAATGTTGATGACTTCCAACCACAGCCAAACCCAGTCAAGTTGTGTGAGACCCTCCACACAGAGGGAACTGAAAAAACACAGATTTTGGCTGAGTTGAAAGCTAAATGTAGAATAGCTCTGTTTCTGCAGATGCACAATCAGTAGATGCAAACTGAATGTAACCACCACTGATTTTAGTGATAGTATAGCAATCTCACTGCCCTCATTTGACTTTATTGGACCTCAATGAAAAGAGCATTAAGTCAAGATTTCTGGCTCCTAGGGGAGACAAAATGAAAGGAAAGGAAAGCTTTAGGTGTTATATAGAAGCACTTAGCCAGCACAAGAATAAATGCTATATGGAAAACTTAGAAAGGTCTTTAAAAAGCATGGGAGAGTGTATCCTAAAAAGTCTGTAAGTAACATGGCAATGGCATTGGCCTAGAGTTCACTGTTCTTTGTTTGTTCAACTTAACGGCAACTGTCTGTCAGTACTATATTTTGTCTAATAATTTCATAAATGTTGCAGAATAAAGGTTAGATTTTTCCAAACTCATCCATAAGTTTGACAAGACAGTCTTGCCTGAACTGCCCCTCTCTCTCTGCCACAATGAATTTTCCTTAGAGAGCCCTAAAACTAGAACTGAATAGACCTTTTTCAGTTTACAAAAATCAATCTCAGATGGCTGGAAAACACATCAAGGTGAATTGCAAAATAGAAAAAAAAAAAATCTTATAAAAAACTGACCTTAATGTTTCCATGTATTTGACTTTGGTAAGTTCAAGTGTGTCTCATACTCCTGTGCTCATTTAGAAGTAAATGTTCAAAATTGCTGTTACAAAAGTCATCACTTGATCTTGAAGACTATCTCAAAGGTACTCAAATTATATTTCTTAGTTTTATGTTACTATGTTTTGCAGTACATAAGCTGGGTGACCAACTGTAATCAAATATTTATTCTCCCACTTTTCTGAAAGGGGATTCCCTAAAGATTGACTGTATTTATTACATTAAAATCTATCCCTGCTTTGTATACTCCTTGTTAATCTTGCATCCTGACACCACCACAGCTCCCACACTGAGGTTATCAAACAACTTTAACATTAGAAGCAGCAAATGAAGATGGATAGACAAAGTTGAAATCATGCAGTTACAATGCGTTTCCTATATTGTACATATTAACAGTAGAAATTCCCTGCTGCCATGAGAATATCTGAACAGAAAATGGATTATTTCCCTTAAAGCTTTATAGTAATGAGTGGCTACAATGAATATTTTAATACTTTCACAGCTACTACCTTTTTTTTCCAGACTGAAAGAGAAAATAACAGTGTTGACAGTATGCAAAGTTTCTCTTTCACCAATCAGCTGTGTCTGATTCACAGATAAACAACACTTGGCAATGTTGCTATGTTCATCTGTGGCTTCATTAGGAGGTGGTGTTTGTCTACAGTGTTAAAAGGTTAATTTTTGGAAGGTGTACTATAATTATTTCTCTGTTGGGGCTCCATGACACTTCATGGTCCATCACAAGCCACAGAGAAGCATTCCTGTACTAGCTGTGGTAAACCTTATAATAACTGCTGCTCTCTTTATTGACCTACACAAGTGATTTCTCTTTTTCAACTTTGTTGCCCTTTGTTGCCAACATTGGCATTGCAAACACCATCTGGAGAAAGTGGGTTTATAATTCAATTGTTGGTTAATTAGAAATTCTGCAGTTCAAATTCAGGTCATTGTCATTCTGTCTGTCACTCACTATAACTGCACTAATTCAATGTACACAAGTCAGTAACTCACCCATGATAATATAAGTTGTTCCGAAACATTTAGCTTTGAATTACTTGGTCTAAAAGTCGCACAACCTCTGATTGTACCTCAGTATACCATATTATTTAATGCATAACTTGAGGTTATGATGACTTAGATATATGTTTAAGGACATGGCTCTCTTTTAAACTCCAGATTATTAAGATTTTGTTTCTCTGTTTTTTCCCAATGCCTCCTTACTTTAATTCAATATGTAAAATAAAGTACATTAGACTTTACTCAAAGTTTCCCCAAAATAGTTACTAGTTTTACTTAAGGTAGCTGCGAGGTTTGGGTCATATTTGTTTAAATGGAGTATTTTTCTACCTGCATCTGAAGCCTTGCATCAATAAAATCTATTATGAACTTGTTTTTCTTTCTGTGTGGTTAGAAACACTGTGGACAGGTGGGTCTTGTTTGCTCTGGCCAGCATAAAGGTGTAAGGAAGAAATATTGATATATGAAGAGCATGCTTTTCCAGCTCAGAGAGGGATAGGTTTCATTAAGATACCATCTGTAGTAGCTTTTGGGTGGGGTCATTGACGTGAATTACTTATAAATTAATTTGACTTTTCTACCCTGGCAGATCTGTCCCAGAGTCAGTAAATACTGCTGCTGTTAAAGATAAATGTCATTTGTTGCATCAGGCACTCATTACCTCTCTGCTTCTCTATTCTGAATGTTTCTGTAATTTGCATCATTTGAAATTTCGTTTTATTACAAAACTTCATCTTTCATTATCTGAACTTTGTCTAGACACTTGTGACCACCAGTCACTGAGGTGAAGATCTGGCTGGCTTTTGCAACCCCTTCAGGGAATCCTCCCCCAAAAGCAGGGTTCATTGCTCTTGTGTATTGAAATGGTGGAGCTATTCTGAGGCTGCTGCAACAGTCCATGCAATTTCATCCTCTGCTTGTCCAAGTTCTTGCTTTGTCATCAGAAATGGAAAAGAGCTTAATAAACTCCTCAGTGGTTCATTGTGTGGCACCCTTGGAACCCTCTCAGGGAGAGGAAAGTTGTGCAGCACATCTCAAAAACTGCAGGTAAGCTGCTCTTCAAATTTGCTTGTAGTGTAATTTTCAAGGAATCCTGGACTTCTGTATTCTGCTAATGGATGAGATAAGAATCCTTTCCTTATATCCTGTATCGGGAATAGCAATATTTATTGTATCCTAACTGTGCCAAGCTCTGACAACCCAAGACAGTCAGCTCTGCAGGTACCTGGGAAGTACCCAGAACTTCAGAAATGCCAGCAAGCAATATGTGGGAGATTTTTGAGTTCACTTGTGAGATGCTGAACAAGGAACCAGCAAGCACAACTTAGAGTCCTTGCCTGTTTTGAGTAACTGCTCCCAAGTGGTACAGTTTCCCCATTGAGTGAAAGTTCAAGTGCTTTATTTCCAGGGTGAAAACACTCCCAGAAAGAGCTCCTAAAGTTGCATGCTGGGAAGCTGCAGTATGGGGAAAACCAGAAATCATGTGACTTCAACAACTTCTGGATAACATACGTAGGTGTGTCTGGGGTGGGAAGTCACAGTGTGTTTTTTACACGCCACATTTAGCACAGCTCAGTGCTAACCTTGCTAAAAATGGCAGTAGATGCAAAGTGCTACGGGATAAGTATGGAGGCAGGGACCACTCCAAGGCATATTGGATGCAAGCAAAGCTCATTTGCTCCATAACACGTTAGGCAGAAATGAGGCCCAGGGCTGCCAGGCTTGATATCTCATAGCTAGAATTCCAAAATAAGGCCCATTTCACATGCTACAGGATGAAATGTGTTTCAGGTGCTAAAAGATTGCCTATTTCATATTTCTTAACAGTTTTGAAGAAATTATCCATATACCCAGGAGAAGGTGTTGGAGTACTGTCTTGTATATGATAAGTTGGATGTGAAGTGCCCTGGACCCAACACCCATCTGCCATGTACAAGGAGGTGCAAGATCAAAGCGACTGCAGAAGTGGATGTGCTTTATCTTATCTTAGCCAGACCAAACACTGCGATGGGTTGTGGAGGACCACTTTCTCTAAAATTGCACCTAAGATAATTTCAAATCTGGTTTGATCTTTATTGTACAATATCTAGGTCAGAATGGGGCCAAGGTTCATAGAGTGTTAAGCAGGCCCTCTTGATTGGGCTGTAAGGCTGAAAAATGCAGAAACTTAATGCTTATACAACCTGAAAAACAGGAAGGGCCAAAAGGGACAGAAAGACTTTTTTGGAGACAATTTATTCTTCAATACAATGACAAACCACATTTCATAGATTTTGTTATCAGTCTTCTTTCTACTGTAATTCTATCAATCAATATGAAATCTTGGGTGAAACAAAATTTATGATTAAAAGATTTACGTGACAGATCATGCACACTGAAAAATAATTGCACCGGCTCAAGCCCTGTTAAAAAGGCACGCACAGCAAAGTGACCACATCACTTTCTCCCAGATAAGCCAAATTGCCACAGGTGCTGAGCAGAAGTGCAATATATTGCAGAACAGGAATCATACAAGGTAACTGCTATGGCTCAGGAGGAAACTCCCCTCCTGTCTCTGGTGAGTGTGCAACTCCTAAGGAGACACTTTACAGGGAAATTCGCAGAGGATGTGGCTGGTCCTTCTCATAAAGCCTTCCAAAAAGCGTCCCTGTTATGAGCGGTTTCGACGTGCCAGGCTTGCTTTTCAAACGCCCGTCACGTAGCACCTGGTGGAAAAGGGAAAGAATGGCACTAATGATCAGGTAACAGAGTGGCAATACTGCATTGTAGAGAAAAAATAGGTCTTAGATGCTGAATATTTTGATGCAACACTTTTAAAAACAGTCATGGTAGCAAAAGAAAACAGAATTCTCTCTGGGTCTGCCACAGCCTCCCGATTATAGCCTTCCTACACTTCCTTGTATCCAGAAATCCTTAAACCTTCCTTTGTCTTTGGAAATAAAGACCATTTTCTTCACCTCATAAAAAGGTGAGAGTGAGGATAACTAATTTGTTAGATTCTCTTTAGTTACTCATACAAGGCAGGTATATATAACAAAGGTTATATGCACTTCTAGGACACACTTGAAACATTTTTTGATTTGTAGACCTCAGAACAATTTTGAGATGGAAATTGAGAATTTCAAGCTATTGCCATACATAGCTTTTCTTATTTCCATTTTATATATCAATTTGAAATGACTGTTCACCAACTGTGAACACCTGTAACAACATTTTTTGCCCCTGTGACAAAAGGTAAGCATGTATTTGTTAAGAAAATACAGCCTATTGTTTTAAAATTAGACCATGATCATATTTTTAGGATACCAATAAATTCTTTGATGTGCCTATTTTTACAGAAGTCTCATTCAAAAACAAGTATGAAGGGTGAACAATGCTTTTCAATTTCCTACTTTGTAAAAAAAAAAAAAAAACCAAAAAATACCACCCTTGTCTCCCCTAAAATTTTTCAGGTCTTTCTTGCTGTCTTTATTGTCTCTTGCTCTTGTAAGCTGTTAAATATTTCTTCCAAATCAACGAAGATGTCATCTAGCCTATTGCATAAAACTAATCTAAAGTTTATGTCTGAAAATATCTTTTGGCAAAAATAAAATGGGAACCACCAAATAAAAAAAAAAACCACAAACCCCTCAAAAATCACTTTTAACATTCTTAACTGCATAGAATCTCTGCTCTTACACACGATACTTCTAAGTAATTTTTCTTGTTTGGACAATTTCTCAGAGTATTTTATTTCTTTTTCTCCTAAAATGACCATTGTGGGAAACCTGTAGAAAACAGCTCACTGAAAGCTGTGGTTTCTTCATTTATGATCTGAGGTTGGAAGGCAGATTTGCTCCATTGATTCAATCCTCCGTTTAAATCTGTCCCCTTGGTTCCAGACAGCAGAACCAAAGAAAGCAATTCCAGGATGGGGCTTTGCTGCCAGATCAATTTTCAGAGCCACATAAGAAACCTTGCCACAAGCAGCTCCAGGGTGTGCCATTACCTCGAACTCCCCAGGAGCCAGCTGCACCCCGCTGTACAGCACTTCTGGGAAGACGTAGCTGGTGCCAAACGTGCCACTGAGGGAGAACATGTCAAACTTGGTCTGAGCCGTCTCCACGGGCTGCCCACATGTGCTCAGGTTTGTGCTGGGGCACTTGAGCAGAGTGCAGATCTGTGGGGAGGAGGAGACAGAAAGGCAAAACACCACTGAGCTTTCAGCAACCACGAGCTGGATTTGGTAGCAAGCAAAGTTCCCAGGATGCAGTAATGGACAAATGTTTTTAGGTGGTTGTTACATGGCCACACTCACCTCTAAACATGCAATTACCTGCCAATGGTATTTTATGAGAGAGCCATGAAGACCATCAAATGCACCCAGGACATAAACTTCATCTCTCCTCTTGTTTGACATCTGGTAGACCAGATGACAGCAAAGGTCTCCTTGGCAAACAGTGTAATTTCCATCCTTGTGCCTGAGTTCTCTGAAAGTGAATATATCCTTCCGGACAGCTCCCGAGAAAGTGTTGTTTTCTCCAGGAAACTTCTCGATGCTCGTGGCATGCAAGCTCCAGTTGACAGCAGGGGGGTAGGTGGGGGAAAGACGGGGGCGTGCACTCAACTCTGCTAGCAGGAGACGTCCCTCCTCGGTGGCACTGTCGTAGTGGTAGGCAGCAGGTCCCTCTGGTGTGAACAGCCCACTGCCTGCCAAGGACACCACCAGCCACCCCGTTAGCCAGCACCACACAGCACAGCTTGGCAGGGGTGCCAGTCACCCCCATACCACACTGGCATTGCTTTTCAGTGATACTCTTTTCATTCAATACATTACTGAAAGGTTTTGGAATAATTTTAAAGCACCAAAAAGCTGAAATACCCACCCCAGTGTTAAAACCTGGGTTTATTGAAAAATAAATCATAGCTCTCAGAGTGGCATATTTGACAAAGGAGGCAATCATGGGCGTAGCTATGTTTCACTAAAGGACACACAGGGCTGTGGCCTAAACTCAGTCTATTTAGGGCAGGCAAAAATGCTCCTTTTTAGTTTTCACATTGATTCAGGGAAGAGATGCAGCTATACCCTTTTCTTAGTAAAGAGAAAAAAAAAAAGACAGTATGTTGTCATCTTATTGCAAAAGTTCCATAACTACTTGGTGATTTCTCATGGGCAACTCCTCACAGCACTGACTCCTTCTTCTTCATAGCACAACCAACAAACTCCAACTCCCTTCTCAACCAGCTAACCCTTGTGTAGCACTCATCTTCTTATTGGACACAGCTGTGGCCTGTTAAGGGCAGGCCTGTTCCTAATCTTTGGTGATTAGTACAGCTGCAACTCCTCAGGGGTGAGATTTGAGATTGCCTTCTGCATTTATTCTCTTATATTCTATCCCCCCACAGCAGTAAATCTATTTTCACAGCAAAGTAAAACATAATATCTCTAAGTCTTCAGCAGCCACAAGAAAAAAGAGTGGAATTCTTCTTTTGGTTTTACACTAATAGGTTCTTTTTTTTTCTCCATTTGGCTGTTGATTGAATTTTAAACAGGAAATGCTGCCCCTAGATGAGAGATTGAAAATTTAAGTAAAACTTTTTGCTATTTTCTGAAATAAAATTTCATTTTTAAGTTATCAAAACTTAATTTCTATTTTTCTACTTTTAGAAATGTCTAATGTCTTAATGTCTGTTTTTTCTATTTTTACCTTTTTCAGAATATTCAACATCCTTCTCCTTGAAGTTGTTTGTTGCGTTCAGTACCAAATCACAAAGATCTTTAGTCCAATTAAAACACTGTTTTTCAGAGACTTCACTATGTCTAAAACATTTCTGCCTGCTTCTGAATCTGGGAACAATTTTCCTGTTCCTGAATGCAACTCACCTGTCATTGCGCTGGTGGTGTTATGAGTATTTGCAGAAAGTAAATTAACACCCATGCCCATAGCCCAAGCAGAGTGAAACTCAATTGCAGTCAGAAAGGGCAGGACATTCATCCAAGCTGTTGGGAAGAGCACGGTGTCCACCTGCATCTTGTTCACCAGGACCACGGCAGGCTCATAGAAAAGGATGTCAAAGCAAGTGAAAATGCCAAACTTCCCAAAAGGAGTCTCAAAGGTGACAGCTTCTGGCTCTTTTGGATAATCAAACTGAGTTTCACTTCTAAACAGATTGTACTGCAGGTGAAGAAAATGGCATATTAAAAACTGAAAATAAGGCAAGATTATGAACAGCTTTTGCATCTGAGACAGGCGTTAATGCAGAACTGGGAGTGGAGGTACCTAAGCTGGCTAGCACAGCTGGTTTGTATCCAATCAGCTGACCCTCCTGCCCAAAAAATGGGGTGTCTGTGCCCCATCTACCTCCTGACAGCAATGCCCGTCCAGTATTAGCTATACTCCAAGACTGAGGGCCAAGATGTCACCTGAGAAAGCACTGTCCAGGTTGGCTACGAATGTATCAAGGAAAAGCTAATGTTTATTGAGTATGGAAAATTCTGTCACTGTTTTCTTACCATTTACTGCCATAAATGTAGCCCTTAAGTGTTTGGCAGCTTGCATGCACTCTGCAGCTGCAGTGCTCCTGGGAATAATTTGACTGACTGGTCAAGCAATTACTTATTTTTTCTTCAGGCCATGAGATCATCAAATCATCCTGGACTGGTTGTCACTTTATAGTAATGTAAAATTACTGTATAAACTATCTGAAATTGGTGCCAGAGAGCTGAAAAATTCATTGATAATGAATCAGAGGTTGATGCTGAAGCATTTCCTTACCTTATGGTAGCGAGCCACCAGTTTGCCCTGTGCGTCAAAGACGACATCCGTGTTGTACTGGTACCGACCGTCCTTGGGGCAGCTGGGATCACTGGAGTCACACAGCTTCTTGTCCCCGATATTTGCAACCACATAGATGGAGTTATTTCTGGCCATGCAGCTGAGTCGTTCCTGCACTGGTGTTGGACCAAATCTATTGCATTTTTAGTGAAGGAAGAAAAAAGTCGTATAGAAATTTAAGCGCCCCATGTAAAAGTAATGCATTCAGAATTACTACACCATTAACTGCACATCCCAGATGCTGAAAGAGCAATAGATCAAAACATAGGTTTTGCTAATTTTCTTCTCTGTTCATAGCATCATTTTAAAATGCCAGTCTCTTTTATCTTTAAAAAATGGCCTCCCTGTGTTCTTCTTTCCTGTATCCTTTACAATGTTATTTTCTGTGTGGATAGAATTTCCAGCTAACCTGCATACAAAGATGTGAAGAGCTTCACAAAGCAAAGACAAGAATAAATCAGTACAGAGACATAAATCTTAAATAGCTGAAAAAGCAAATTATCAAGCAGCTCTATCCCTGATTCAGAAGAAAATTTTAGCCTTTTTTAATAATTGTTGTCTGTATGCCTTTAGTAAAAAGTGGGCATTTACAAAGCTGAGGACTCCTGAAATCTAGCTTCATAAAGCCTCAAAAGAGAACATAAAAGGTTAGCTTAGGCATGAACTGAGTCTTTTCAGTGTCCCAAGCTGACACACGTTGGGATCACCTCCATGTGTAACACAGCAGATGTGCAGGTGGCTGGATTTCCAAAAGATATTTCTTTCAGATCTCGATTAATATTTTGTGCAATTTGATTTAGAAATCACTCAGCCACCTGAACTGAGGACTGAACTAGCTTGTCTGATCTATGCAGCTACATGATAATAAAATAGCTTCCACTTACAGAAGGTTTTCACAAGTGATCTGAATCGATAAATTTGTGCATGTTTTAAAAATAATTATTTTGCCTAAAACATCCTCATTTTTGTCCTTTGCAAGTAAAACTGTCTCAGTGCTTTTACCTGACATATTCCCATTACCATTTAATTAAGAACTCTTTTTGATGCGTCTCATCTTTACAGTACTTGTGAATTTTTATAGATTAAAGAATGAGCAGTTCTTAGTAATTTAGTGTCGCTGCTCAAGACTCCATGAGATAGATAAAAGGTTGAAATCACCTAAACCACTGCAGAAGGAATCACCTTGAGGGGTCAGTGCAGGGAATCCAATTCACCGCTGGATCAGGGACATCCTCCAGGTAGGGGTAGATGGATTCTCTTGTGAATCGCCAGCCATAGATGCCGTCTTCAGGAGTCACAATGATGTGGGCACCCTGTCACAACAGGCTCCGTTTAAAGCACACCCGTCAACAGACAGCCAGGAGGGTCAGCAGGAGCAGGAAACACTGATGGACAGCCCTCACGGCAGCCCTCGTACCTGCTGGGCAGCTTCCTTGATGGCCCCTTCCAAGACATCCATGTTTCTGTTCATCAGGGCCAAAGCATCGCTGGCAGGGACGGGCTCCTGGGTGGCATGTGGCAGGATGACGGCGTGCTCGTAGACGGCTGCCAGGAAGGTGTCGGAGGCGAGGGCCCGAAGGGCTGCGAGTGCGAACAGCACAGCGGGCAGGAGAGCCTGGGAAGGGAGCATGGCTGCAGCCTCCCANGGGCTACCTGAGGATTTAGTTTGTGAAGCAGGACGCAATGTGGTGCTAAATCAGCTTAGCTGTAGAGGGACTCTGTCGTCAGACGGTGCTCCGGCTTCTTTTCTTGTGCTTAGCGAGAGGAGAGCGTGAGGAAGACAAGCGCGCATTCCAAGGGTTAACGCTGCCTGGGGGAGGCTGTGAAAGGGCGCTCGGCAGCCACGCAATCCCTGCCAAGCGCTGAGCACACGTGAGCAGGAGTCGGGAAGTCAGAAGGCGCTCACTTCTGCCCACAGCACCGAGTCATGTTCCCTGTGCCCTAACAGGACAGCTTTTCCCAGGGCGCGGGGACAAATTTAAAGATACAGTACTTTTCCTTCCCGAACAGCAGAGTGTTTCCCATTATTTCCACTACATGGATTGCAGAGGGATCCGGTTTGATGCTTTCACAGAATACAATCTTATTTTTAAGACATTCCCTTGTCAAAAAACACCAATGTCTGTATTTTTTCAATGATGTTAGTCAGATTATGTGTAAACAATGTCTGTGCTTCAAAGTAAACTTGCAGAACACGCAATAGAATGGGGCACACACAGAAATCTTAGCTGGCAGATACAAAGTAATCCAGTCCACTTGCCTAAAGCACATTCTGCAGGGCCCACATCCTCACACCTGCCAGCCTGTCCCAGCTGTTCCCTCCCCTTACCCAACACCTGCTGGCACAGTCCTGGCTCTCCCTTGCACCAGTAGGAGCAACCATTCCAGGGGAACACAGACATGCCTCTGAGAAATTGCTTCTTTTGAGCCTTTGTGACACAAACAGTTGTCAACAATTCTGTGCTAGGGAGGTATCCCACATCCTAAAAATGTGGCCAGAGAGATTAGAGTCTTCCAACTGTAAGTTAGGCCATGGTAAGATAACACACTGCAGTGTGCTGAGCTGAATAACTAGTTTTGTTTGAAGGAACATTTTTTTGAGACTATTTTTCCTTTTCAAAGGAAGCGAAAATTTTCAAAGTTTCTGCTAGTCTCTTGTTTACAAAAGTGTCTGTTCAGAAATGGGGTGGGAACAGTGCTGTGGAAATGGCTTTGAATACTCCAGCAAAAATTTCAAACAATTAAAAACTGTTTTTTATTGGGGTACAACCCACTTAATCCTACACCAGTAAAGTCAGAGGAATTTATTTTCTGTTGTTCCCAGTGTTTCTATTGTTCACAGGCCATTCCTATGCCAACCAAATCTACCATATAAAAATTCATACACAACATTCCAGCAGAGTATTGATTTTTGCTGCAAAATCAAGTCAATAAATCAAAGTGCAATAACTATGCCACTAGATAAGGCAACTAGAAAAATAGAATGCCATTTTAATTATGAGTATCACTATTAAGTACCATTATTTGTGTTTAATTAGTGTTACAGAAATGAGCAGATGAAAGCTTGAATGATCTGCAGTGAAATCATGCTGAAGCTTGATCCATGGATGGAGGGTCCTTTTCATACCATCTCCCAAAGAGTGTTACACTCAAAACTGGCTTTGATGTAGTATTCCGATTTATCAGACGTCCATCAGCCAGCACCTGGTTATGAAAAAGCAAAATAAGCAGGAGCATCATCAAAGCACTACTACTGTATGGCAAAGACAAAATCATATATTCAGTCATGTTGATCTAGTCAAAAGAGCTCCAATCTCAATTGGAGCTGTCAGGAAGGCTGAGAAAAACTACATTTCTGTCCTGAAGAAGATCTGGTTCTAGAGGATTTGGGGGAACAGGGCAGAAGAGAATTGGCAAGGTGGATTAACCATTTGAATACAACCAGGAAAATCAGGCAGAAATAAAGCTGCCTTGAACTGGAGGCAGAGTACAGAGGACTCTGGTAACAACTAAGTTGCTTTTGTAGTGGCTTTTTGACCACTGATGTCTGACAAAATACAAGGGTGTCCCATTACCTCGAACTCCCCAGGGGCCAGCTGCACCCCGCTGTACAGCACTTCTGGGAAGATGTAGCTGGTGCCAAATGTGCCACTGAGGGAGAACATGTCAAACTTGGTCTGAGCCGTCTCCACGGGCTGCCCACATGTGCTCAGGTTTGTGCTGGGGCACTTCAGCAGAGTGCAGATCTGTGGGGAGGAGGAGTCAACAAGGTATTTAGCAAGATGGCAACACTGGTGCCTTGTGTCATCAAAGCTAATGTGCGTCAGAGCAGGTGATAGTCACAGGATCTTCTTCATAACTCTTGGGTGACTCCTTTTCAGTTATAGCTTATTTTTTTACCACTTAATCTGACTGGGTGTGTTCCAGAACTTAGTCTCATAATTTTATAAATAAGCTGTCTTAGTCTTATAATTTTATAAATAAATTGGTTTTGACATAAGTGCAGCCAAAGCACCTTATTTCATCTCTGAAGCCTGATCCTGTTTGTTCCACAATTCTTTAAATCACCAATTGTCTTATTTGAAGGTTTCTTTCCCACAGGTTTTAGTAAGATGAGTTTGTGAATGGAAATTTTAGGCAAACAAAACAAAGTCTTCCACATGGGTACATTGTAAAAGTGCACATCCAGGTCCTCTTACTGCTAATTGCGTATGTTGCTAATGATATTTCATTAGATGGCCTGATAGTCCATGGAAGTCCGAATTTGATGTTCCCTGTCCAAATCCTAGTTAATATAGGCCAAGGAGATGAAGTTAGCATCTTTGGTTACAGTTTTGTGTTAGTAGTTGCAGCACATAGAGTAAAGCAGGAATCACAATGTTGTTTCCCTTTTGTCATGAGAGTTAATTATCCAGCTGCTAAATGTTTATGGTCTTCATGAGGAAATATGAAATAGGACTAGCACTCCTCTGATTCAGGAATGATTTGAAGGATGTTGTCTGGTTTTGCTGATAGATGATGGAGTTTTTCTACATGTCTGGTATTGGGGCATAGAAGCATATTTGCAAAAATTCAGAAGTATTATTCATCAGTAAATATGGTTTTGTGTTGAAATGCAAATAAGCAGAGAAATAAGGTATAAGTTCTGAGGAAATGAAAAAAAAAAATGAGGGTAAAAGAAAGAGTAGAAATTCCTGTCTTCTCTAGAACTTTCAATTCTGGCAGAGACTATCTGGCTCACCAAGAACTGAATTTATTCAAGTTACCTTCCTAGTATTAGATGAGCTGTTTGCTGGATAATGCCTCCCCTCATATCCCAGAGTCTGTATCAGCTGGTACAAAATGTTGATGCTGACAGACAGAAGTAACTAAAAAAAAGTATAATCTGCTGGCACAATAACTTAATCATGAAGGCAAAGGATGTTTTCAAATATGGCTTTAAGCAAATTCAACCAGGATGTAGCTCACTGTCTTTCCAAATATTTGATTAAAAGAGAGGAAGAGAGGATATTTCCACTAAAAGTCGTAAGCCATTTAAGTAAGCTTCATTGCTATGATTTGGATAATGACAAAAAAAATTAACATCTCTGTGACCCTAACTTATCAGAGCATCTCATAAAGATAGCTATGATCAACTGATTTTTAACAGCATCTCTTTGATGAAAGTACAGTGAGACCACATCTGGAGTACTGTGCCCAGGCTTCTCTTTCTTTCCAGCACAAGAAAGAAAAGGAGCTACTGGAGAGTGTCCAGCTGAGGCCACAAAGATGATTAGGAATGAGGAGCTTCTCTCTTAGGAGGAGAGACTGTGAGAGCCAGGCCTGTTAAGTCTAGAAAGACTGAGAGGTGTCTCATAAATACATACAAATATCTCAAAGGTGTGTGCCAAGAAGATGGTGCCAGGCTCTTTTCAGTGGTGCCCAGCAACAGGATGAGGAGCAATGGCCATAAAAACACAAGAAGTTTCACCTCAACATAAGGAAGAAGAATTTTTTTACATTTAGGGTGTCAGAGCATCAGGAGAGGCAGGCCAGGGAGTGGGTGGAGATAGAATGTAAGAATCACCAAAGATTAGGAACAGGCCTGCCCTTAACAGGCCATGGCTGTGTCCAATAAGAAGACGAGTGCTACAAAAGGATAGGTTAGCTGGGTGAGGAGAGAGTTGGAGTTTGTTGGTTGTGCTGTGAAGAAGGAGTTAATGCTGTGAGGAGATGCCCATGAGAAATCACCCAGAAGGTATGGAACTTCTGCAGTATGATAACAAGGAAGGTCTTGGATGCTCCCTTTCTGGAGGCACTCAAAAGCCACCCAGATGTGTTTCTGTGTAATCTGCTCTAGGTGACTTTGCCTTGGTAGAGGAATTGGACTATGTGATCTTCAGATGTCCCTTTCAATCCTAACTATTCTGTGATACAGAGGAGATTCAGAACACTTACTGCAGATATTCACAGAAGAAAACCTAAATTTAGCCGATATTGCACACCCCCAAAATAGTGAGTGCACTCTGGACATTTAGAGGAGGTTTAGAGATCTCTCTACTGCATTTGTTGGATTTGAAGGCGAATAGGCTTGGAAGTTTTAGCAACTTCTTTCCATTACTAACAAAAGGTGCCATAGGATCCAGCACAGAAGACAGGCATTGTCTTCTCTTTTTCCACCACAGAGCTGAAGGCTTCTCCCTGTAAATATTCCTAAAGAAATATTTAGGAATATTCCTAAACATTCCTAAAGGAATAGCCCCCTCCAGAGAATTACCTGCAGATAGTACTGTCCTTCAAAAACATGAAGGCCATCAAAAGCACCCAGCACATAAACTTCATCATCTCTTTTCTCTGCCATCTTGTAGCTCAAGTGACAGCAGAGGTCTTTTTGGCAGACAGTGACATTCCCCCCAGGCTTAGTGAGCTCTGTGAAAGTAAAGGGATCTTCAAAGATGATTCCTGTGAATTCATGGCCATTCTGTGAGAATCTTTCAACACTCAAAGCATAGGAGTTCCAGCTGACAGCAGGTGGAGAGGCAGGAGAAAGACGAGGGTGTGCATCTAATTCAGCAATGAGGAGGTGACCATCTTCAGTTTTCATATTGTAGGAGTATGCTCTGGCTCCAGTTGGTGCATAAATTCCACTCCCTGAGGAGAGCACAACAGTCAGTCCAAGAAGAATTTAAAAAATCATGTTGTCCTTCCAGTTGTCTCTACTGATTGCTTATCCACAATTCTACACAGATTACAGTAATTCTAGTCTCATCAAAGATGACAGTTAGCAACTCGGTACACAGAGCTCATGCTTTGTCAAAGAATATCATTTATTCCCTTAGAGAAGGTCTGCTCAGTGTAGACAGAGGATGTTTGGGTTTTTATGTTATGATTATATTTATGGCTTCCTCAGTTCTCTTTTCCCCTGTGTGCAATAGAGTTGATAATTCCTTTTTTCTTGGCTGATTGATGTGAAAGGACTAGCTACTGATTGAGACAATCCAAAACACAACGCAGGCAAGTATCACAGGCCTGTCCATGAACAGAAGGAGACAGCAACTGTCCAGCCCCCTTTACACTGGCTGAGAACTCCTCCCCTCATGAGTGATTCACATCTGACCAGCACCAAGCAACAGAGGGAAATCAAAGGTCTGTCATACCCATCACTGCAGAAGCCTGTCAGGCATTTCAAATGAACAGTCCCAAAACCATACTGTGGTTGCTCAGGTCAGTGAAGATAGTGGTCTAATTGAAATATACTATTCCATAACCTGAGCTGTAAAAAAAATCAATGCTACATTCTAAAATGAAGATGTGGACATCTTAGCAGTGTTACTACAACCGGCCTGAACATGTGTTTTTAATGGTTTTCTGTAGCAGTGTTAAATACAACTATAAAAATAAGTATCTCATTTGGCAGAATAAATGTTGCCACATATGTGGTTTATGAGTATATTTACAGTTTGGCATTCAACCATAGACTTATAAATGGAGAGGAAAAGAGCCTTAAAAACCATCAAAATTTCTGTTCAGGCATAAGGGCAGTGACCTAGTACTTATTTAGAGCCATTAAAAGGAAAGATAACCCTAAGAAGCTAGGGAAAATAAAACACTATAAGTTTTGTTGTGTCTTTATGAAACCAATAGGAACAGGAATTATCAGCCTTAAAATTTGGTGACTAGACGTTTCACCTTCCAGAGAAATAAATTATATTCCTCAGCAAAATCACTTCATAGAAAGGGGAATAAGAGAGCTGTGGTTATAAAGATTCTTCCACAGAGTGAAAATGAAGTTACCTGTCATTTCCATGCTAGTGTTGTGAGTATTGGCAGCTAAGACATTGACACCCATGCCCATAGCCCAGGCAGAGTGAAACTCAATTGCAGTCAGAAAGGGCAGGACATTCATCCAAGCTGTTGGGAAGAGCACGGTGTCCACCTGCATCTTGCTCACCAGGACCACAGCAGGCTCATAGAAAAGGATGTCAAAGCAAGTGAAAATGCCAAACTTCCCAAAAGGAGTCTCAAAGGTGACAGCTTCTGGCTCTTTTGGATAATTAAACTGATTTTCTCCTAGAAAGAGATTATACTGTAGGGGAAGGAAAATAGATAAACCAGTTAGAGGCACACTAACCATGTGTCTTGGATTCATTCCCTAAAGCTGCTCAGAATGACTAGAGAAAAGTTTTGACCTGTGTTGGAAACCCTCACAGGCAGGAAATCAGGCTAAAATTATATGATCACCATACCCAAAATATGGAACACATATTGCATACTGCCCCGGCATCTAGCTAGGAAAGCGGCCAGCTGCCTTCAGGTCTGTTGGTGTCATCTGCAAAACAATAATCTCTCCACTCTCCCCACCTAGTTTATATTTCTGGCAACCCAAATGCAACCAGAAGAGAAACAGTAATGTAAAAGAAGTATGGGAGATCTGGTGCCAAGAGACAAAATTGGTGACTTTGGTGTGGAGATGCCCAGAAGCACTGAAGTACAGAGCACCAGCATGAAGCACAGGACAGTATTTGGGACGCTGCAGAGTAAAAAACAAAGGCTGTGCTGATGGGAGAAAGGCAGATGATCTCAGCCAACAGAAAAACTGAAGTTTTTGACATCCTCAGCTTTCCAACATTTACCTTCTTCTTTCACATACATATTTATTAAGAGTCTTTTATAAATGTCCAGGTGGTCTGAAAGTAAATATGGATAGCAAGCCAGAAAAGAAGTTCAAGTTTACTTAACTTGTAATTCAGCACCTGGGCCATAGCAGGCTGAGGGCCAGACTTGCTTTATCAGTGTTTCATTCACCCAGTTTGCTCACAAATAGATATCTTGGCATCTTTTCTCTAAACAGCCAGATGAAATATTGGGCCCAAAGTGCCTTAAATAAACTGACTTCACTCTACCCACACTGGCAGAATATCTAGCACATAATTCATAAACAGCTTTGATGGAACTGGCAGGTAGGCACATAATACTGAAAGAGGAATTTCCATTTGGTGCAAATGACCCAATATCCTTATCTCTTTTTACACCCATCTGGCATTTTCACTTGCTTTGACATCCTCACAATGTCAAAACAATTCCCATTGTGCAAAAACTGTGCCAAAACAGCATCAGAAATAAAGGTCTGCCTCTCTGAAGTCAGACTGCTCATCTACGATGAAATGGACGTGAACACTGAAATCCTGGAACATGAAGTGGTAGTCTGGTGAAAAGCTGGCACTGAAAACTGAAGCTGCTCAAGCAGCAGAATTTACAGTAGTAGCGAGCTAACGAACTGAGGAAGTCAACCAAAGCCATATGCCACTAAATTGCACCAGAACAATCATTTTTCATTCCAGTCTGTTTTGAGAAACATGACAGCAAATGCAAATTTGGCATCGACACTTCATAGCAAGAGAGATATTCTTTTAAATTATAAAGAAAAACAAAACTCTGTCAGTGGACAATGACTGGCATCTAATTCTCTTCCCAAACCTAGATATTTTGGAAGTAGGGGAAAATTAATTTCTGTCTCTCCAAGACCACTTTACCTTGTGGTAGCGAGCCACCAGTTTGCCCTGTGCGTCAAAGACGACATCCGTGTTGTACTGGTACCGACCGTCCTTGGGGCAGCTGGGATCACTGGAGTCACACAGCTTCTTGTCCCCGATATTTGCAACCACATAGATGGAGTTATTTCTGGCCATGCAGCTGAGTCGTTCCTGCACTGGTGCTGGACCAAATCTAATGTATTTTCAGGAAGGAAAAAACCAAAATTAACAAAACCTGTGCTGTCAGTGGTGTCCATTTCCACAGTACCTGAGGGCACACCAGCAGCATCTCCAACCCTGCAGCCATGGCAGGGTAGGCAGATACACAGATATGCTGCAGTGCTTCCTCAGATTGCTTCCTGCACCTTGGGGTAGGCCCTGGAGACCTCCCTTTGGCCTCTGCAGGGACATGCCTGCCAGTCTCCTTCAGCACCCGGAATATGCTCTGCAGTAAACAGATAACCTTGGGCCGGGAAAGGGCAGGAGAGCAATCTCTGGGCAGAGGAAGACACTAGCTTGGTGTCACACAAGCAAATATTTTAGCATCAGGCATGCTGACACCTGAGGGCTGCAGCTCTGGGCCCTTAGCAGGCTAAGCAGGGTTGAGCTGTGGGATAATGCAGATGATATGGTGAAGGCAATTCAGCATTCATTTCCTCCCATAGACAGGCACACACAAACCTGTAACCACGGCATGAAGAACAGTGGGCTGTTAATTTTGAGACATGACAGTGTCCATGTGCCAGAAACTGGCAGCACCTCTGAAGCATCCACACCAGGCCATAAAGAGAGCAGCCATTCGTTCCCCTTTGCAGTGTGGCAATGCCTATGGCTTTGCAAGGTGTGCATGGGCCACACAAGGAGGACTTCCATGCAAGATACACACACAGCACCAGGGATAAGGCAAGCCAGACACTGATGACAAGTGTTATATTCCCAAAAGCTGCTAGTGAAACCTCTAATTTGGACCAGTGAGGAGGCATTCAGATCACCTCTGCTAAACCTGTGTGATGCACTAAAGACCTGCTTAGACACACTGCCACCCCACACTCCACCTTCAATGAAAGACTGTATACTGTACCTACTTGTATCTCAGCAAAAGTTGCACATCCCTGAACTGAGTTACTATATCCCCACTGATACAATAACCTGCTCTCATCAAGGAAGTGCAGAAATCCATGATGAAAAGGGCAGACCATGGCTGTAATTCCATAGCTGAACACGTATTGCATGCTGTAGGAGTTTAAAGTCCAGTCCTCAGCTATAGCTTAGTTTGTCACTGCTGAAACATGCTGCTTGAATGACAGATCATTTTCTACAGCACAGAGACTCTAGCAATTCAGACTTTATCTTACCTTAACTGTGGAAAATCAAGGTTAAAAATTCCTGGGATTTTATCATTTAGAAGTTTGGACTTTAATTACTGACTTCATCATCTCTTATTATCTGCTCAGAGACTACTTCCTGGCAGCCCACAAAAATGATGTGTGTGCTTTTGTTTCAACATGTCATTTGTAAAAAACAAACAAACCAAAAAATCAAAAAAATACTACTGTTAAAAATTTACAGTCAGTTCTATTCAAAATAGTGTGGAAAAATTGAAAGAAGAAGAAGAAGAAGGATATATTCTGGCATCAAAAAGAGAGATTTCCTCAACTTTTAGTAACCCAAATTCTGTATATTGTTTGAATTTCTCCTTAAAGTTTCTAATTTAAAAAAAAATCTTAATGTTTCCCACATTGAATAGTCATGGACATGGTATATATTTAACCATTTAACTACCTCCATACTCAATTTCAATTAAAACTTATGTCAGAGTCATTAGCAGTTCTTAGTAATTTAGTGTCTGCTGCTCAAGACTCCATGAGATAGATAAAAGGTTGAAATCACCTAAACCACTGCAGAAGGAATCACCTTGAGGGGTCAGTGCAGGGAATCCAATTCACCGCTGGATCAGGGACATCCTCCAGGTAGGGGTAGATGGATTCTCTTGTGAATCGCCAGCCATAGATGCCGTCTTCAGGAGTCACAATGATGTGGGCACCCTGTCACAACAGGCTCCGTTTAAAGCACACCCGTCAACAGACAGCCAGGAGGGTCAGCAGGAGCAGGAAACACTGATGGACAGCCCTCACGGCAGCCCTCGTACCTGCTGGGCAGCTTCCTTGATGGCCCCTTCCAAGACATCCATGTTTCTGTTCATCAGGGCCAAAGCATCGCTGGCAGGGACGGGCTCCTGGGTGGCATGTGGCAGGATGACGGCGTGCTCGTAGACGGCTGCCAGGAAGGTGTCGGAGGCGAGGGCCCGAAGGGCTGCGAGTGCGAACAGCACAGCGGGCAGGAGAGCCTGGGAAGGGAGCATGGCTGCAGCCTCCCA